CAGGGTGAGTGAAACGTTATGTGCTTCGAGTATTATGTATGTTGGTATGAAGCATTCTAAGCCTCCATGTGTTATGTTGTGTCCAGTACGAATATATAGTACTTGTGGTCTCGTTGTGTGTGATGTTTTACCCTGTAGAGCTGAGTGGACCCATAAGATAGAGAATTCCACTGAAATTCAGTAATCTCACCTTAATTATGTTGTTTTTCTGATAAGCTTTATGAGCTAGAGGTTTGGCGAGAAGGGTGAAGATCGAAGTTTGATGTCTTGTGGATTTGTTTCCATTGTATTTTCCTTTGTCTATTTTAGTTAGGACATATGATGTATTGATTGTTAATGTATCTTAACGTAATACATTTTTAGATGTCATTTAGTTAATGTTGTTTCAATACCAAAATTTTAATGCTTTACGTAGTACGATTCTAGATAGTATTACGTGAGGTGTTAAACATACAATCAATTTTGACCATAAACCCGAATCGTCTCTCCCGACCCAATGACCCACATGTACCCGTGTATTACAACAAATTTTGAATTCCAAATACGTCTCAACACATAATTGGTATTGTATCCAATAATTGATTTGAGAAAATCAAAACTAAAAAAATATTTAGCTTTGAAGAGACTTGAGATCAGGTTATCTGAACAGTTCACGAACTTCCAATCTTATTTATCAAACATAACATAGTTCAAGGTGCTTAGATTTTGTTAAACTTTAAACCTCCATAGTTCTTATACATAGACAAACAGTTCTAAGAAATCCAATTATTATCTTTAACTTAATCTCGATTATGCCTCTACCAAAATGAGTTCATCGTTTTCTTAATCTTGCCACTGAAGGAAGTTGACAGCAAGAAAATACTCATTACATGAGTTGATAAGTGTCTCTTCATACTCAAGAAAGAACTGACTTGGTAAGTGTCTCTCTTCCCGCTTAAGAAAGAAAATTACTATTCTATTAGTTGATCTTTTTCATACTCTTTTTTTATATTTACATGTTTCCAAAACATGTTGAATTCATAGAATAATATCTACCAACCCTTGTTATTATGAGTGACATTTTTTATACAAAATTTTAGATTTTTGAAGATTAATGGCTTGTTCTTTATAAATGCCAAAAACATTTTTCAAATGTTGCTTTGTTCACATTATCTATAAAGAATAAGAAACATTCATCATCAAATAGAAGATGAGTACGATTGGCGCATTCTAACGAAAAATTTGATGTCGTGGATATCCCCTTAATTTCAGCTTGTTTGATAAGTGTTGAGAGACCTTCAGAATGGAGAATGAATAAGTATTGAAACAAGGGATTGCCTTGCCTCAAGCCACGTCCAAAAATAATAGGCCATACCTTAGTACCATTCATACTCACAAAATAATCCCCAGTTTCCACCCTATCCACTTAACTTATATATATTGGTAGGGATAGCAAAACGCGTCGTGGCCTGTTGGATCGGTCCGCGCACCTGCCAAATAATAGCGGGTTGAGTTGCGATTTTCTGCCCGCCTACCCGCTCAATCTGCTCTGTCTTGAGCCCGTCCCGCCTTAAACCCGCCAAAAAAGGAGTGAGTTGGTCTGCCAGCCTGTTATCCTAGTTATCAAGCACTCAACCTATGGAAATGAACTACTTTTTCTGAACTTATTTTTCAATACAGTTAGTATAAAAAATTTAACTAAGTATACAACTTTAAACGTTATCTATAATCACAATGATCCAAGTTTGTATATATAAAAAACTTAATGTCTAGCTATAAAACAAAATTATGAATATAGTTAAACTGCAATATAGAATCAGTGTCAACCATCCTCTGGTTGTCTGGTGCACATTATCATCATTGATTGTAAAAAACGAGAACACGCATGCTGAAATCATCTTCAGAACTGCAAGGCACGCGAAAGCAAGACTCGTTGCTAACACGAAAAGCTCTCTGGCTTCGAGATTTTCTTGATCCCTTGCAACCCTTTGAACATCTAATCTGGTACGTAGTGGACGAAAACATGTCAGAACTCAGACATTTAACAAGAGAAACAAAACATAAAGCAAACATAAATAGTAACCTAAACATGTTATAAGTGTTTCTATAGATTGTAATCCAAGTAATCAAACAAAATGATAGTCCTAACCTTAACATGCTATTTTCTCTAGCTAAATCATTAAGTTGAGATGATACATCATCTTTCCATGACTTTACTTCTGATATTCCTTTTTCCTGAAAACGAAAACAAACCAAATTACTATGATTGTGTAGATGAATTTAAGACGCATACGAAAAGAAGAAAAAAAACAATATAATACCATATCTGTGTTCCACTGCTGGTGATCATTGATTTCTGTCTTGCTTTGTTCCAAGCTTTCTGATAATTTTAACATCTCTTTCTCAAGATTCGGTATTGTAATCTCTTGTCTTCTATTCAATTCTTTGATGTAATCCTCTAATGTCGATAAGTTTACCTCCACAGACTTCACTTTCTGCATCAAAATCTTTAGAACAGTGTCACCAGTTATCCTACCATTTAATTGTTGTCTAAGTTCCTTCACAGGATCAGGAACCAAGTTTACCATCACTGGATTTTTCGTCACTTCCGCGTCAATCTTTTGCGTATCATCATTAACGCTCGATATCTTAGACGCCATTGTATCATTCTTAATTTCAACTTCATTACCTTTTCTGTCAATTTGATCAGCTTCTGATTTCAAAGACGGCGTCATAATGTCGCTGATATTCTGAGTTGGCAACTTGTGAGGAATGGATTCCACAGAAGTAACTATTAGATCCTTAAGCATTCGCTCTATAGCGTTGATCCCGTAAATTTCTAAGACACTAAGAGTGCAGTAAAACTCCGATCCATAATGACTAAGCAGGCTCAACTTCAAATACCTCACCCAATTAGGCTTAGGTAGTTTAAAAACCTGTGCATGCTTAACATTGGTAGCAACAAAGATCCCTAGCTCGGTCCACGTTTCGGTTGGATAAATCATACTACCAGCCAATTCAAATTCCTTGAAGTTTGAAGAATAATGCTCAAAGTTCGCAATTTTAACAGAATCAACCAAAGTCTCTTCAGAAAGTTCGATAACAACAAACTTTCCAGCAACAGAACAAGGGTTTCTCAAATACTTATCATGATCCTTTCCTAATATATTTATAGCACCTTTAGCTTCTTTATTATGTGCCACAACCTTTGCACCTTTCGACTCAGACGCGTAATTGTACACAGAACCATCCGACTCAAGACGATGTGTTATGTTAACAAGCGAATCCTTGCTCTTTTCTTCCTTTCCTAATGCTGATATGTTATGGAATTTACCTTCGAGAGAAGCATGCGATGATTGAAGCTTCTTTTCCTCTGGCTTAGATTGTAACTTGCACACTAATCTACTATTATTACCTAAAACTCGCCTAAATACTTGTTCTAAACTAATTGTTTCCGCAACCGAGTACATTGGTTTTACTAGTTTCTGACTAATGCCGGTTGATTCATTCAACTCTAACATTGCTGCAACATTCATGAAAACATATTGAGATCAATGAAATGTATATTAATATACACTTTCGGCCATAACCTTAAGGATCCGAGATAACTAAAGTCTGATCAAAAATTGTTTCAACAAAAATTCGAACTTGGGATCATTGCAATAAAAACTAAATGGCATTGTGAATTTGAATAATGGATTGAAAGGGAAAATTGAAAAAAAACAAACCTCCTCCTTTAGAAGAACCGTGAACAAGGTGAAGCCTAGAATGGAAGATGGAAATGAGGCACCAAATAGAAAATAAGAAAGAGAAAGAGAGGCCAAAAATTTTGCTAGCATAATCTCCTTGAAATTTGAATTTGCATTTGATATTTGATCTATGTTGTGATTGATTCTTCATGTTTCATTCATTAAAATTAAATTTCTAAGTGTCAACAACACCCATGATTGATCATTAGAACAATAACAAATCAAATCTGAAAAATGAAATTGAAAATGCAATTTGTGAGTGATTTGTGAAGAGAAGTTTGGTGTTTGGTTAGGCACAAAAATAGGAAGGAAACAGAATTATATTACAACTTCCACTGCCACTAATTATTCATCTAAAATCCCATTTTATGATTTTTTTCTCTTAAAAATAAAGTCAATTTCATGTGGTAATAGTTTTGACGGTGCTTGGAAAATGGAAAGTTTAAAAAACAATGTGTGTAGTATTTTCCTAATTGAGTAAATTTATATTACTATTTTTGATGCTACCTTATTGCAAATTTTGGAACTGTTAAGTTCAGAGAAATAAAAAAAAAAAGAAATTAATGAATGTAAATTTTTTTTTTCATTTAAACTTTTATTTATTTAAATTATAAAATTTAAGAACATACATTATATTGAAATATATTATTCTATCACATTATAAATTTTGGTAATTAATTCAAACAGAGACGTGTTGGACCAGATCGCACAATTTCTAATTAGTTAGACCGATTTGAGAATAGACACGTTATATAAAGATGACAGATTCTTAAAGATTGTCAAATAAAAGTCTAAAGTCTATTGACATTGATTGAAGTAGATAAATGTTAGAAGAAAATGTTTTAGAATCTCTAAACCATAAACTCTTTCTTTAGATTATTGGTTCAAATTGTATGCATTATTATAACTCTTATATCTCACACTTACAACGCCACATTGTTTGTAGATACACCTCTACTCTACCTCCACGAATAACTATTTGGTATTTTTAGTTTTGATTGAAAGTGTGTCTATAATTGTTTGTTATTCCTATATCAGATTGAAAGTTTGTCTATAAAAGAAAGTGTATGAGTCAATTTGAAACAAGAACATCATGTTCTATTGAGTATCAACTTTTATAGTTTTATGAAACATGCTCAATATCAAGAAATCACTTGAACTAACATTGGAATTGAACAAATATAATGATTTTCTATTCCTGTTATTACAAATTACAAAATAATGAAACATTTTAGAAAAGAGTATTTGTAAAACTATAAGAAAAATACTAATTTATAAAAACTGTGATGTTTGAGTATTTGCCCCCATTATTTTATTTGTATATCTTCCCTTACATTGTTGTCTCATGTTATTAAAATTTTCACTTGATTGCCATGGTCTTTCTCCAACAAAAACATCCTCTCCATCTGGTCCTTGTCCAACATATTGATGCATAACAAGCACCGAAGCTGTTGTTTCAAAATCCGAGGAAGCAAGCAAATCTCCAATGCCTCCTAACTCGGGACATTCGCTCCAATCCGTCAAACCTTCCGTTAATTCCGAAGAATTTCCATGACTCCTCCCAACTATGAAGAGATCGTTGAAATTGTTCATTTCTCTTATCGCCGTAATTGTTTCCTCCCCGTTACTCACAATTTTTTCTATGTACTTCACTGATTCATCGTTCGCGGCTATCATTTTTATATCATTTATACACTCTTCGTCTAGTTTTTTTGAAATCAAACTTCTTTGATTGTCCATTTGATCGTCGTCCGTGTTTAATGTTTGAGTTGCATCGTCCGCGTTTAATGTTTGAGTTGCATCTTTTCTATGAATGAAATGCATCACAGTGAGCACAACTCTGGGATGCCTTGACATTCTCCATCCATAGGATAATGCTTCCCTGTCATCTGATCCGCCAAAGAATAACGCAGCCACCTGATGAGAAGATTTATTTGAAGTTAACTGGTTGGATCCGTTAAGGCCTCTGTCAACAAGTATCGCGACCGAACAAGGAGCAGTTTGTAGTAAATTATGGTTCACCATTCTCAATGCTGGATTTGTTTCTAGCATGTCTCCATCAACTGTTTGTTGTTTATGAAAAGGAATGATGATGGTGGCTACGCGTTTTTCCTCGGCCAAAATGTTTATGTCTTCATGCATGGTAGAGTAAGGCGAAACAGCGGTTAAAGGTTGGACCGCGACGTAACTAACATGTTCCTCGAATTTACGAAATGCGGTGATGATGTGTTCGGTCTGTGCTTGTGTTTTGTTGACCACTGGACCTCCTGTTTGTATAGTGGCATGGACGAAAAGCATGGCTGAAGCTCGACCGGTGAGTTCGACTAAATGGAGCACATAAGCGCACATCGGAGACATTTTGTTTGGGTTTGTGGCTTCTAAAAGATTTATTATTGTAGGAACGTTTCTAGGAGAATGAATGCACACCAGAACCCTTAACTCTGCATCAACTCTTGAACTTTGTACTGTCCTCCTTCTATAAGGTATGAGTATTTTCCTCGGCTTATAGATTAATGTCACAATAGGTGAAACTATCGCTGTCATTATAAGTGTTACAATAATCATAATTGAGAATATTTCATCACCTAAGACCTGCAAAAATATTACAAATCACAATGTATGATATTTCAAATTCATTGAAGAGATTGATAATAATAAATCAAAATTGATTTGGTTTACCTTTTGTTCTCTCCCAATATTGAGCACAATCATTTCAATAAGACCTTTGGTGTTCATAAGAAAACCAAGCACGACGCCATCGCGAGCTGGTATGTCAAAAAGGATTGAAAAAAAAAGAGTACCGATGATCTTTCCAAAACAAGCGAGAGGAACAATTGCGAATACAAATGCCCAAAAACGACCTCCGTGAACTAAGGTAATGTTAGTCTTGAGTCCGCTAATAGCATAAAAAAGAGGTAGCAAAAGCCCTGAAACAAAGTCTTCTAGCTTTTCGATTATAGCAGCTGCGAGTGGACCGGTTGGAATCACTAATCCATAAACAAAAGCTCCGAAAATTGAATGTGTTCCAATAACATCTGTAATGAAAGCCGAGACCATAACGCCAACAAGCACAACACATATTTGGAACTTGCTAAACGGTTTCCCTTCCGGAGTTTTCTTGATCAACAAAGCCACAGATGGCCTAACAACAAGAAAACAGAAACCAACAAAGAAAACATTTGACAAAACAACCCAAACAGAAGCCACTGTGGATGCATTTTTCTCAGATAAAGCAATAGCTAGAGCTAGTAAAACCCAAGCAAACACATCATTCACGAGGGAAGTCGAAAGGGCAAGCTTTCCTAACTCGGTATTAATGAGTTTAAGCTCAGTCAGTATTCGCGCGAGCACAGGAAATGAAGTAACAGATAGAACAATAGCAAGATAGAGAACATAACCAATTTCATTCACACTTTCATCTCTATCATTCATAACAAATGATATTCCAACACCAACAATCGAGGGCAGTATCATACCGGCAATGGCAATCGACACCGCCTTTCTCCCCGTCTGTTTTACAATCGATATATCCATCTCTAAACCAATTAGGAATAGAAAGTATATCAAACCTATATTCGCCAAAGTTTCTAAAACCACAGCACTTTTTAGAGGAAATACATTATTTGCAAAGGTTTCATCTCTACCTAGCACCGTTGGCCCCAAAAACAATCCACCCTGTAAAAATATCACCCAATGATTGTTAAAAGTATATTATAACTAACTAACTTAGTAGTATCATAATAATTTTAAAACTGATATAATATGCCGCACAGACTACTTTGAAAAAATGTGTGTTCGTGTTAGACATATGTCCGAACACTTGTAATATCAGTGTCGGGGTCGTGCGTGTAATAATTAGAAAAGAAGGTGGAGAGGGAAAAGAAGTTACCAAGATTTCAGCAATGACACGAGGAGGTTTAAATGGTTTGAGGATGAAAACAAAAAAACAAGTGGTAAGAACAACCAAGGTTAATTGGATAATGAAGAGAGGGATAGAATAATCTAAAGGGTTATCTCCTTTCCATATACCATCTGTTGTGGTCATGGATGGTGTATAACAAATCAATCTAGTATCTGAAACATTTGAAAGTGCTAACATTGTTGTGTTCGCCTCCATTTTGCACCAAATGTATAAATAAACTATAATAATAATGTCGAATTAAGAACACAAGCATTAATTGTGATAAAAAAATCCTAGGTTTTACCTTTTATTTTGATGATCAAAAGGGGTATTAATTAATTGAATCATTAATTTTATCCTTACCTTTCTTTCTAAAATATGTGATTTTATTAAGAAACTTGGTGAAAAAGAAAGGTGAAGGAACCCCTTGCTTGTGTTCTTAATTCTGAGGGGGGGAAATTGAACAAGATGAAAGGGATAAAGGCAGGTTAGCTTTGATGCTTCCCTGCCTATAATTCCCGAATGAAGAAGAGAATTTTTTTAAGGTTATGATGTTTTATTTGTACTTTTCTATTTTTGGAAACTCATTTTAACACGTGATTATTTTCTTAATGTAGGGTGTTAGTTGCTATTCTTCATTTTAAAATGAAATTGTTTTGATTTTTTTCCATTTAGAATTTTTATTTTAAAAAGTTGTTCTTATAAGTTTCAAAACAAGTTCACTCATACTCATGTTGGAAATTCACCTCACACCCTATAAAGAATTATCTTCAATCTTGATCTCAAGATTGATGAACAAACCCACAATATGATAATGATGGTAATAACAAGTAATTATCAAGAACAACAAAAGAGAAGAAGAATAACAAAAAGAAAAGAATGAGAGAAGTATTGAGTTACCCACAACTGTGGGATTTCTGATTTTATTGAACCTTCACTTGCTAACACTGCAACTGTGAATCCAGTTCTAATGTTGTTATAGAATACAAAGCAAGGCACCATATTTATAGTTTTAGATTTACACTAGCCTAAACCATAAAAGGCCCAACATATCCAAATCAAATCTAATCATATCAAATCTATTTACACAATGAATTATATTTAACACACCACCTAATTCATTGTGTCTAAACTGTCTACATTCATCGTGACTCTTAGTCTTCTGAAGGCTTCGACCTGCACTCCCTTCGTCATGATATCTGCAATCTGATTCTCAGTTCTGCAGTGTTTCAACTTCATCTTCCCTTCTGCTACCTGCTCTCGAAGATAATGGAACCTCATCTCGATGTGCTTGCTTCGACCATGAGCTATTGGATTCTTCGCCAAGTTGATAGCTGACATGTTGTCTATCTTCATGGTAATTGCTCAATGATTCTTCTCTGTGATTTCTTCGCCTTGTTTCACAAACCCAGCTGGTTGTGCAACATAAACTTCTTCGTCTAAGGGGCCATTAAGGAATGCACATTTCACGTCCATCTGACATGTGTGCCAGTTGTTCATATTTGCTAGACCAACAACCAACCTGATTGTTTCGATTCTAGCAACAGGTGCGAAAACTTCATCGAAGTCGATTCCTTCCTTCTGAAGAAATCCTTTCGCCATAAGTCTCGCCTTGTGTCGAGTTACTTCTCCTTTAGGATTTACCTTTACCTTGTAAACCCACCTAACATCAATTTCCTTCTTGCCTTGCGGCAATTCGACAAGTGACCAGGTATCATTGACTTCGATGGACTCCAACTCTTCAATCATTAATTTCATCCACTTCGAATCTTTCAATGCCTCAGCTACATTGACTGGTTCGACATCTGCGTAGAAAGCATAATGTACCAACTCACCCTCTGCATCGACTACATCATCTGATGTAATTACACATTCTTGCAACCTTGCAGGCATGTGTCTTGTTCGTCAAGGTCTGCTTGAACCTGCTTCATCTGCAACTGGTTCCTGTCGAACTTCTATTTCGACTTCAGTGGCTGGTTCTTCACAAGAGATTCTCACTGAATCCTTCTTGGCATTCTCAGTCCAATCCCATTCTTTAAGCTCATCTATGATCACATCCCTACTGATCACCACCTGCTTATTCACTGGGTTGAACAGCTTGTAACCTCCTGTCGAATGATATCCTATCAAGATCATCTCATTCGACTTATCATCAAGCTTCCTTCTCAATTGATCTGGCACATGTCTATGTGCTATAGATCCAAACACCTTCAAGTGACTGAGACTAGGCTTGACACCAGACCAACATTATTCTGGTGTGATTCCTTCAAGCTTCTTCGTCGGACATCTGTTCAATATATATGTTACTGTCGAAACTGCTTCTCCCCATAATTCTTTAGGTAGATGCTTTCCATTCAACATACTTCTCACCATATTCATGATGGTTCTGTTCTTGCGTTCTGCAATCCCATTTTGTTGTGGAGTGTAAGGTGGCACCACCTCATGCACAATCCCTTCTTTTACACATAGTGTATCGAACTCTTTCGACACATACTTTCCACCACCATCAGTCCTTAGAATTTTCAGCTTTCGACCACTCTGTCTTTCGACCATGGACTTGAATCTGGAAAATACCTCAATCACATCACTTTTCTTCTTAATGAGGTAAGTCCACAGCTTTCGACTGTAATCATCTATAAACGTGACAAAGTATCTATTGCCACCAATCGAATCCACCTGGATTGGACCACATACATCAGAGTATATGACTTCAAGTATTGCCTTCGACTTCCTTCCTGCATCCTTGCTGAAGTTATTCTTGTGTTGTTTCGACTGAACACACTCCTCACAGACTTCACTTGGAATGTCGATTTCTGGTAATCCTAAAACCATATTTCTTCTCTTCAATTCTCTGATGTCATTACAGTTGAGCTGACCTAGTCGAAAATGCCATAACCACTCATCTCTGCTGGCTGTAGTTGCCAGACACTTGTGCTCCATCACATTGAGTCCAATCTTGAAGGTCCTATTCTGAGACATTGGAGCCTTCAAGATTAATCTACCACCTGCGTCGAGAACTCTCATCATCTTGTCTTCGACAACTACCTTGTAGTTCTTTTCGACAAGCTGCCCCATACTGAGCAAATTACTCTTCATGTCTGGTATGTACAACACATTGGAAATTTTTGACCTTTTACCATCTTTCCTCATAATCAGAACATCACCAACACCTTCAGCTGCTAGAGTGTTGTCATTTGCAAACTTCACTGTATTCTTCAACGAGGGCTTCATGTTGACAAACCAATCTTTCCTTCCAGTCATGTGTGATGAGCATCCTGAGTCTAAGTACCACTGATCTTGGAATCTTTCTTCATCGTTTGTTGTGACCATTAGCAACGTTTCTTCTTCTTCATGTTTCACCAGCTTTGCATCAGTCTCTTGATTTCTCTTCTTTTCTGGACAATCACTAACATAATGACCATACTTCTGGCAATTGAAACATTGAATGTGGATTTTGTCTGTCTTTCGATCACCACCTCTTCCTTTACCTGCAGCACCACCTCTTTGGTTGCCTTGGTTCCAAGGTTTCTTTTGATTCGACTGGTTTCCTCCTTTGTTGCCATTCCAGCTACCTTTGCCTTTTCTCTCCTTTTCCGTCTGTGCCTGTAAAGCCATATCTTTCGACTTTCCTGCAGCTCTCTCAGCCATCCTCTGTTCATGAGACTCAAGAGTCCCTTGAAGCTCTTCCTTCGTCAACACTGACAGATCTTTCGACTCTTTTATGACAACTACCACGTGGTCGAATTTTGGAGCCAACGATCTCAAAATCTTTGAGATAACTGCTTTCGTCGTCAGCGCTTCTCCACATACTTTGATTTGATTCACCAACTTCGTAACTCTGGTGAAGAAATCTGTAGTGCTTTCGTTGTCTTCCATCTGAAGCAACTCATAGGTTCTCTTGTGAGTTTGTAACCTCGCCTCTTTCACCTTCTTTGCGCCTCCAAACGACTTTCCAAGAATCTCCCATGCTTCTTTTGCTGAATCAACATCACTAACCTTTTCAAAGTTATCAGGATCGACACACTGATGAATTATAAAGAGTGCTTTATAATCCTTCTTCTTCAATTCTTTGTGCGCAGCCTTTTCCGCCTCCGTTGCGTTCTCCACCAGCGATGTTACTCCGTCCTTCACAAGATCCCAAAGATCTTGATAACAGAAAATCACCTTAATCTGCTTGCACCAATTCTCATAATTGTCTTTCTTGAGAATTGGCAGGGTCGCCGGAAAGTTGCCGTTCAGATAATTCATCGCCATCACTATCTTCCTTCCTTGAATCTCTCAACCGGAGCTCTAGATACCAGATGTTGGAAATTCACCTCACACCCTATGAAGAATTCCCTTCAATCTTGATCTCAAGATTGATGAACAAACCCACAATATGATAATGATGGTAATAACAAGTAATTATCAAGAACAACAAAAGAGAAGAAGAATAACAAAAAGAGAAGAATGAGAGAAGTATTGAGTTACCCACAACTGTGGGATTTCTGATTTTATTGAACCTTCACTTGCTAACACTGCAACTGTGAATCCAGTTCTAATGTTGTTATAGAATACAAAGCAAGGCACCCTATTTATAGTTTTAGGTTTACACTAGCGCAAACCATAAAAGGCCCAAAATATCCAAATTAAATCTAATCATATCAAATCTATTTACACAATGAATTATATTTAACAACTCACACATTTATCTCTAAAATTATTGCTCTTATTTGAGTGATAGACAACAATTCTTCTCAGTTTTCATCCACTTTCATGACAGGATTTAAGTTATCAAAATCATTTAGCAAACCTCATTTTTAATTGGCTCAAGTACATTTGTGAAGAATCTTTTGACTCGCAATTTAGTGGGAGTGGTAGAATATTTAGAGATCATAGACGTAACTTTATTTTAGATTTTAAAAGTCCAGACACATTATCGTATAATATTGTTTTCTTGTTTTAAAGTTTTTGTCAATTTGAGTGTATATGATATTGTTTATTCGCTTATTTGTAATTTGCTTGTTATTCAAATATTCGTGTGTTTGTATTTTATTCGCAATTGAGTTGTATTGTGTTCATTTAGATTTTTTAGCATTGTACCATTAAGACCCTTCATTATTCAATAAAGTTAGAGTGTTGATCCATAATAGTGTTCCTTTTTTAGCCCATCAATTTGTTTTTTGTTGTTTCATCAGGTGTGGCTTGAATCACAAGTTAGAACTCTTAGATCAAGG